ATATATATATATATACTTCTGAGCTGGGCATGGTAATGCACACCTGTAATCAGCACTCGGGAGGCTGAGCCAGGAGGATTACCATGAGTTTAAGGCCAGCCTAGGCTACATGGTGAATTTAAAGCCAGCCTGAGCTACATAGCGAGACCCTAGTTTTTTTTTTTTTTTTTTTTTTGAGACCCTGTTTTAAAATAAATAAATAAACACTTTGGGTTTAGCAAATGTATCCTAATTAACATACAAAACATCCTCATCACTCCAAACAATTCCTTACGTCCCCTTCTGGTTGGCAGAGGGCGTGAAATATATTTGACTTGGTTGCCACTTAGGTGTGGGAGGCACCACAGGAGGCTGGATGCTGGCTTCTCATGTGCTGGTGAATGCTGCTTCTGGGCCTTCTTGCTATCCACAGCAGTGACGTGGGTCAAGAGCTGCCAAGGGGACGGGCCATCAGCGGGCCACACACCACTTAGCACCTTCTGTAATCCCTACTGGACTTTACACGGAGCTGCGTCCTCCTTCAGGCCTGACCCCAGAACAGTCATGGTGTCTCCTTTACTATTTCCCATGGCCAAAGCAGGCAGGAGGCCAGTCCAGCTCCCACAGGAGGGAACCAGGCATTCTGGTGACACCCAGGAGGAATGCGATCTGCAGAATGACAGGTGTGTGCAGCCACGCTCGCTAGGGATGATAAGGTGCCACTGTCTATGAACGGGGGAACCCAGAGTACAAAAGATCATAATGTGTCAGCAAGGATGACAGTGACACTTGGCAATGACACACAGGTGTGTAACCCCAAGAGAGATGGACACAGCCACAGAAAAGCAGACGCTCGCAGCAACATGATTCATGACTCAAGACATGGAAAGATGGATTCTCTATCACATGGATTCTTGCGATGGAGTCTCTGGTGGCCACGAAAAGGAAATGTAGCATCGAGCCTGCCAGCAGGATCTAACCAGAGCATTGCACTGGATAGGAGAAGCCAGCCATTGGGGGGGGGGTCTCCACTCCCATCTGTAGGCCATGTCCAGAAGAGGTGCAGCCTCAAGCCCTAAAGACAGAGGGAGGCCGTGGATCCAGGCCCTTGGGAGGCAGGACACAGGTGGCGACTGTTCAAAGAGCACAAGGTGACTTCTGGGGGGACACAGGTGTTCTGAGGGGTCCAGGGAGAGCCTGGTGACTCACACAAAGAGAACGACTTGAGGAGAGCAGTGTGGGTGGCTTGCTTCTGACTGCACACAGACGCTGTTCACTGAGGGGAGATGCGCGTCCCCTACCCCAGGAGCCCTGGTCATGCTTCCTACCTCTGCCCGGGCTGATGGCAGTGAGCGGGGGCCCGTGGCCACGCCCCTCTAGCTGTGGCCTGTTCTCGGCAAGCTGCCTGCCGGATGGGTAGAACAGGCCCACGGTCTGGGTGCCCACGTGCTTCTTCAGTCCGAGGTCAGCACTGGGCAGAGGAACAGTTCTGGGCTGCCACACAGATTGGGGCTAGAGCAAATAGAAAATGATTCTTTAAAATTAGGAAATAGTCTGGGGGGATAGTTTGGCAGTCTAAGTGCCTGTCTGGCAAGCACAAGGACCTGGGTTTGATCACTGGTACCCCATGTTGTGCTGGCTCCAGAAGCAGGTGTAGTGGTGCACGCTTATAATCCCA